AGAACTAAAGAGCATTCAGAATATGTAATGATAAAAATGCTTGGTTTGCCAGGGAGCATAGGAGTCATCAGGATATACAGAACAGAACCAAAATATGTAAATGTTTCTACAAAGCCAACTAGATAATGAAAAATCTTTCAGAATTTGAATGATCTAGTATAGAAAAAAAATCACCACGGACAGGAGATTTTCATTTGATGTAAGATATATACAACTTAACATCATAAAAATGGGATAATATATTGTTTTCTTCTTTGTCTTGGGAATTTTATGAACTTGGTTGCATAGTAGGTCAGAAAGAAAATTTTGCTACATTTAAAAAAATGACTTTATAAGTCATTCTATGGCTACATAGCCCCTGATGAATTTTTCCTCCCTGGTACTGGGGATCGAACTCAGGACCTTGCCCATGAGAGGCAGGCACACCACCTCTGAGCTTAAACCCCCATCCCCTAGAAAGATAAAAAAGTTGGTGAAAATCCTCACTATTTGAAAAGAATTTCCTACATAAGAACTTCCTATACAAGTACACGACTCAGGAAGTTGGAAAACATTCACACCATAACTGTACAGACACACTTCATTTTGATTCACTTCACAGATACAGCTTTATTGTAACCCACTGAAGGTGTGAGGCATCCCTATATTGAGCAAATGTCTGGTGCCCTTTGTCCCTACCTCGTGTACTCACTTTGTCACATTTTGATAATCCTGACAACATTTCAAACATTTCTATTACTGCTGTATCTGTTAGGACGATCTGTACTCTTTCACATTACTATTGTAATTGTTTTGGCACTGCAGACTGCACCCATGTAGCTGGCGAGCACTGCGTGTGTTCCCAGGGCCACACCGACTGGTCCCTTGTCCGGTCCTCCTGCTTTTCCTTGGCCTCTCTATGTCTGGAGATACAAGTAACAATGCCACAGTGTCCTCTCAGTGTTCCAGTGAAACAGCCACACATCTCCGACTAAAGTCCGAACTAGACGGGATTCAGATTTGCAAGGAAGGCATGTGGAGACCCACGTCAGGCTGAAACTTAGGCCTCTAAGGAATGGTTTTGGGAGGAAATCGAGTATTCCCCCAGGGAACACATGAATGACAAGGAAACAGCCTTACTGCTGGTATGGAGCCAGTTCCAGTGGGCTGGACGGACCAGACCACCTCCCTATGCCAAGGCCTCATCTGGAGCAAGGCCCTGACCTTCAGCAGCGCGGTGAGGCTGAGAGGTGAGGAAGCTGCAGCGGAAGAGTGTGAAGCTGGTGGAGATTGGCTCAGGAGGTTTAAGGAAAGAAACTGTCTCCATCAGGGAACAATGCACCTGGTCACCCAGAGGCTCTAGTACAGATGAGCAAAGATTACTGTTGTTTTCACACCTGCTAATGCAACGTCCATTCTGTGGCCCATGGATCAAGGAGCCATTTTAACCTTCAAGTCTTATTATTTAAGAAATAGATTTGGTAAGACTACAGCTACCATAGATAGTGATTCTTCTGCTGAATCAAGGTAAAGTAAATTACAATCCTTCTTGACAGCATTCACTGTTCTCAACCTTCAACAGACACCACCCTGATCAGCCAGAATCCATCAAGACTTCCAGTACCAGAAAGATTATGGTTTTCTGAAGGCTCAAGTGACTATTAGTATTTAAATGAAGTATTTTAAATGAAGGTCTGTACACTGATTTTGGACATAATGCTACTGCATACCCAATAAACTCCAGCATAGTATAAATATATATAACTTTTATATGCACTGGGAAACTAAAAACTTTATGATACCTGCTCTTTTTAATGATCTGCAATTAAATCTACAATCTCTCTCAGGTTTGCATGTATTTAAAAAGTGCTTGCCTTAAGACCTGCAAGAACGTACATACTAAGGACTTACACACTGAGTATTCACAATAAGAACTTTTCAAATACCAACAGTAAAACCAGAGGTAAAAGCCAATTAAATGAAACACAAATAAAAAATTATACAAAAAATGTCATAGTTAATAAAAAAGACCCATCAAGCAACCCTTTGTCTATTAAAATACAAAACCACCTAAGCAAAAGCACCCAAGAATAAAGTTTGGACAGGAGACTGAACCCCAGATAGTAAACTACACATCGGGATGATTGCCTTAAAGCATGTAAATGGGCCAAAATTGTTCTGAGAAAAAAAACGCAAAAGTGGGAGGCAGAGTCCTACAGAAGTCACTGGAAGGGTGAAAAACCCCTATTAGATAAAACAAGTATCAGATCTAGATAGTTTTTCTAGCTGAGTTCTATTAGAATTTCAAGAATATAATTCTGATTTAATTCCACTGATATTACTAGAAAAATGGAGATTCTGCAATTGTCTCGAAGCCTTGTAATTTTCATACCAAAACCAGAGAATGGTAGAAATCCTAGCTCTCCACCTACTCTACACAGCCACAGTTCAGTATCACTTATGGACACAGATGTTCAGCTGAAGAAAAAAGTAGCAAGTCATTTCCAGCTACTTACATAAGCCATCATCACACTCAATTTTGGGACATTTTCATCACTTTGGAGAGAAACCTTGTGCTTATTCATTGTCACACCCTCTCTTTCCCCTGGTAACTATTAATCTTTCTATGAATCTGTTTTAGCAATGTATATATGTGATCTTTAAAGATTAGTCTTTCCCTTAGCAGTGTTTTCCACATTTGTTGTAGCCTGTTACTCTGACTTTTAAAGCTCTCATAAGGTCTAAAGTTAGCTACTTCCTGCCTGTCCTCAGACTGTCCTGCACCCATCCTCATGCGCACAGATTTTTGGCTACCTTTGTAGTTTTCAGATCAAGGAAAACTAGACTGGACTGCCAAACATTCACTGTATTATTTCAGTGTTTAGAGATAAAGCAACGTGGTGAAGACCAACGATTTTATAAATGGCCAGCTTCCCATATAATTCAGTTTTATCTTGAGCTAAAACAGGCCTTGGATTTTTCTAGGATAATCCCAGTTGCTAAACCTGTGCCCTCTGCTCCCTTTGGGCACACGTGTGGGACACTGCGTCCCGTGGGCTGGTATGGAAGATAGCACCACATGGTTATTCTCTCCCCTACTCTCCAGGAGAGCGAGGAAGAACTCTACTCCTCCTGTCGCCAGCTGCGGAGACGGCAAGAAGAGCTAAACAATCAGCTATTTCTGTATGACACACATCAGAACTTGCGCAGTGCCAACCGGGATGCCCTGGTCAAAGAGTTCAACGTCAATGAGAACCAGCTTCAGCTGTACCAGGAGAAGTGCAACCGAAGGTAGGCTAGCCACTCTCACTTGCTGCTGGTCATAGGGCAAAACTTTAGGAAGCCCCAGCCTACCCATACTTTCTTTAGAAATTCTTCTGTACCTTTGATTATGGTTCTTCTCTCTGCTCTATAAACAAACTTATCACCACAAGCACCTTCTACTCCCTAAACAGAACTCTCCTCTATAGGCCATTTCAATGTAACAGTGAAAATAGATCATTTTTTTGTTATTGTGCTGGGGATGGAACCCAGGGCCTCATGGATGCTAGGCAAATGCTCTACCACTGCTACATCACAGTCCAATGACCATTGATTTTTAAGGAATCCTACTTGAGTCCCTAAGAATGCAATAGGCTGGTAGCAGGAGACTGGAGAGCAGGGAGATCCCCCTGAACGAGGGAGGCTCCTGGCTGTGCCAAGTCAGGTGACGGGCTAGAAGGGCATCCATGGATACCTCACACAGTATGCTAGGGAGCAATCAAGCATCCATTATCTGGGTGCAGATGCTAACGGCAGCCTCCAAGGGCAGCTCTTCCCCACAGTATTTTCACTGTGCCGCTGCTCCCCCTTTTTAGCAACAAGATGGTTGAACCTCTCTCAGTTGCAGTGTCTTGTAGGAGCTCAGAGCACCTCCTCTGACCCTCAGCCCCATGCCACCCAGGCACACATGACCCCAAATGTTCCAGGGTTCTGCAGAGTCTGTATCATCTGCCCTGCTGGTGATGGTGAAGTCTGTTTCATTTCAGGTTGCGAGAGAAGAGAGTCAGCAACAGCAAGTTCTACTCTTAGAAGCCAGTGTACACATATAAGGGTGTGGTGTGTGCATGTGTGTTACACAGAGGACTGTGCTCTGTTCAATCCCCTGTAAGAGGCTACTGTGTGACATCACCCTCTCCAAGTCTGCCACCAAGATGACATCCGTGAAGATGCCCCAAAGGGCACAAGTTGGGTTAACTTCCTGTTAATATTTGCACCTGGGACAATTTCTTAACTTATATTCTTCATAGAGGACCCCAAAAATGTGTTCCTCGTGTTTGGCCTCTCATGTTCCAAACTTCATTGAATAAAAACAACAGAATTCTCATTTAGTTAAGCCTTTTATGCATGGCCTATATGCTGTATAGGATTTTTTTTTGATGATACAACATGTACGATATGAAAGCCCTTATGTCCTTTGCAGCTACTTATGATGAGAAACTTTAGAGATCAATTTAGAAATGTACAAGGGGATATGATAGCCAGATTTTCAAAATTCACTTAAGAGGTATCTGAGCCTAACATTTTAAGATTGCTGATCTAGGGCCACTAAATGATGAATTGTATCTAGAAGGGATCCTAATCCTTTTTATTTTAAAAACCTGTAACTTCACCATTAACTTGTATAACACTGAACTTTCAGGAAAATCTAAAAGCCATGTCCTAGACAGTGTAAAGTTAGAATTGTATTCAGAAATATAAAAATTACAAAACTGGCATTTAAAAAACTACTCAGCGATTTGTCCTTGGTTTTTAATTTTCAAAAGATAACCTTGAAGAGAGATTCTACACTGGTCCTATCTTAGACATTTCCACATTTCTTCTTTTAGACTTGTTTCTAGACTTTCAAAAGCTGCACTTTTAGCTTTATTAGTAAGGTGTAATTTATTTTTATGTAAATAGGATGTGCTTATGTGTACATAGAGAATTATGTGAATGAGTCACACAGATGGTGGCTGTTGATATGAAGACTAAACAGCTGTATCAAATTTGAAAAAATAAAAATTTTGTCTGGATGAATACAGCAATCTTCCCAGAACTTTTTGTTTTTAAACTGCTGTTCATTTTTATGGTTTGGAATGAAACAAAGATGTAATTCAGCCAGGAGATAGATACGGTTACAATTCTTCTTAAAAATAGATTTCTGGTAGCTCAGTGACAGCACTTGCCTAGCATGAATGAGGCTCTGGGTTTGATTTCCAGTATCTGAGAAAAAACATAAGTGAATAAAAATATTGTCTTTATTCTACATATCACATGCAAGTCCTTTCAGCAAAACTGTATAGAAACCCAGACTTCTGAAATAAATACACGACTGCATTCATGAGGAATGTTCAGGGATGGGAGGAGCAGCGAGGCTGCTAGAATCTTCTGTGTTTCTCAGGAAGGTGACAGCATACACTAGCACCATCAGTCACTTTGCTTTCTTACCAATAGTCCCCGGCACACAGGAAGCCATGTTGTACGGCCTATGACAGTCCCATTCCTGACTGCCAGCCATCAGAGCTTCTGTCCAAGACTTCAAAACATCCTAGGGCAAACCTCTGCAGTGGAAGTGGACACGGAATAGAAAAAAGCAGAGGAAATTAGAATGGCTAAGTGATCATTGGAAGAAATGGATTTGGCCAGATGCAAGGATGTAAAATGAACGTACATCAACTTTAACTTAGGAGTTAACACAGAGACCAAAAAATGTTGCAGTTGGTTCAAAGGAGGGTTTAAAGAACAATACACAGACAGGCTAATAGCTGTCCAGATCTTCTATTTCTGTAGGGTCTCTACATCTTTCATTGTGTGAGTTATTCTTGTGATTCCTGTCCAGGAGATGGAATTTGTGTCCTGGGATGGTTCAGTGGATCACTGCCTTGTGGATACTGTCCACTAGTTTTGCCTTAAAAAAAATCTAGTGAGAAAATTTAAGTCAGTATCACCACTGGATTTGAAATCTGACCCCCACCTTGATCCAGTTAGGGAAGCAAGTCATGAAGCAAGCAGACATGGAAAGGACAAGGATCTTTTTTGGAAGAGATGAGTCAGGAGGTCCTGGTCACCAGCCTGGGTGACTGGTGCCTATCTCGAATTCCTTGGACCAGGTAATACTGAGTGTCACATATCGTTTATCCCTCGGGAGGTATGTAGGCTTTGTCATTCCTTCTTTGTCTTGAGGCCTGACCTTCAACCAATGTGCCTCCAGCCACAGATGGGATGTGTTCTTATTTTCTGCACTAACTCCTTCCCGGCTCAGCCCTGTCTCACTGCCTATAATATCTCTACTTAACTTAGCCGTCTGTAATAATAAAGTATTCACTCATTATTTATAAGGGAAAGGGAAAATTAAAACCCTGAACTGTTAGTGTTACCATGGAATGGGCAGATGTAGTCCAGTCTTATATACAAGGGGGAAGGGATTGCCAGGTGGACACCCAGTAGTAGCAAGGGGCAAGAAGCTATCGTCATTGAAGGTCACAGGAAGTGGTGCTCAGGGCAGGTCTGAACTGCGGTGCAAAAAAAGCAAAAGTACTGCACACAGGTCATGGGACATGGAAACAGGAGCTGTAGCAACCCCCGTAAATCAGGCTTAGGCAATTGAAAGGATAAGTATCGCAATCCAGGGGCCGTCCTCTGAATCCCGGGGTATGTTGGACAGGAATGATTGACAGGGTGCTGTGGTATCTCAGGAAGTCTCAACACACGTCTGTCCCAGAATTCACTCTGATCTAATTATGTTAGTGACATGTAGCACATATTTACAAACCCTTCATGAGGCGGGAGCAGGGTGAAGGTGACAGTCAGGTTGGGTGTTCAACACCCACGTGCTGGCGCCTAGAACATCAGAGGTCTCCTGGGTTTTGTTCTTTTCTTTGCCTCTCTTGGGACAATGGAAGGAGGAGTGGGCATAGAGTACTGCTTAGAATTAAATGGACAGAAGGGAGTGACTTCCTTAGCTCCACTGATTCTAACTGTACTAGTACTACTGTGCCTTTATTAGAGTGGCAGAAATTAAAAAGCCTAATGATGCTAAGTGTTGACAAGAACGTAGAGCACATGGCACGCTGGTGGTTGTGTAAATTGGTACAAAGGACATTATAAACAAGTTTAACACTCTCTACTGAAGTTAAGCATCTACATACCCTAAAACCCGCAGCTCTACTTCTAAGCATGTTCCTAATGTGGAGGCATGTACATTCACCAAAACACAGGTACAGGAGTGTTCATAAAGGAGCCTTATATGTCCACAACTAAAGCGTGGGTAAATTATGTGTATTGGCTCAGTGGAGCGCTATACAGCCACGACTAATGACTGAGTTACAACTACATTTAACTGCATGGGTCACATCAGTACGAGCTGAGTTAAAGAAGCCAGATATACACACAAATGCAACAAAGGAAGAAGCAGAACTATATAAATTAACATACAGTGGAGGTAAAATGTGGGATGTTCGTGAGATGGAAGGATACAGGGTGGTAACACAGCACATTTATGTAACGTTGTGGAAACATTATTAACAGGATACATTCGTACAATGTAATAGGAGAAAGAATACAGAACAGTGCTACCTGCTGAAATAATTTATATACATTCATAAAATCCCAAATTAAGAAGACACAAACAAGCACACAAGACATTATACATTGCCTTATAGCAAACGGCTGGACAGAGGGGTAAAGGGATAGAAACAGAGGGAGGGAAACGTCTCCAAATCAAGATGGGTTTTGAGTAAGAGCGTGGAGGGACTTCAGTCAGAAGTGGAGGGACTGCAGCGGGGACAGGGATCTCTGGCTGTGTCGCCCCCTTCATTTCTTTTTTAAAGACTGGAAGCATTGCTCTGCCTGGTACGAAAGCAAAAGAAGGCCTGTGCTGTCAAAAAGGGATACAGCCATATTCAGACTTCCTGCGTGGCGGATCAGAGGAATACACAAGTAACAATGAGGCGGAGAGGAGCAGGGCGGGTGTCGGGGGAGGAAGGAAGGGGAGAATAAGCAAGGTGGGGAGGGAGCAGAAGAGAAGAGAGAGGTGGGGAGGGAGGAACTGAAATAAACAGCGCAAAATGCAAGCAACTGATAGTTCTGGGTAACAAGAAGAGGTTGTTATCTGGTTCTTTCCATTTTTGTTTTCAATAAAAGGAGAGGAAGGAAAAATGAAGTTAATATAAAAAGATACACCAGGAAAATTTTAATAAAAGCAAAGCCGCCGTGGCACTGTTAATATCAGGCAAATTATAATTCAAGGTAGATTTTCCCTAAGCACCAACGAACTGTGAAGACCCCCAGCCCTTATATGGCTTGCAGTGTAGCTCTGAGAATCACACAGTTGGCTGGGGGCGGGACAGCAGTTTCACAACTACACTGACGGACGGAGAGCTCTCCCTCAGAAAACTGCAAAGGAAGAAAACACCAGGCAAGGCCAAGGCACATGTGAGTGACACAGGCCCGGTCAGGTGCACACCACCATCTCACCAATGGGAGCTGAAGTGTGAACTCAGAGTGCACGAATTCTGTTCAAGTGCAGCACATTCGTGTGTACCGACCGGACACCAGGGCAGGGAAGGGGAGTCCACTGTGATCGCTCTAATGCATTACTGCCCAGAGAGTCCCGCAAAGATACCCCCAGAAGTTCTTACGCTTGATAATCTTAAAAGCTATTTCTAAAATATTTTTAGGCTAAGTGGAAGGGACAAAACTTCTGCACAGAAAAACTAGTTTTAAAAGCACTTACTGAAAAATAAGAAAAACTGAAAATAAATGAGCTCAGCTTTAATTTAAAGCTAGTAAAACCCCCTCAAAATACATACACATGAAAGAAATTTCTGAAATAGAGGACTAAAACCTAAAAGATTTGATAAATGGTTCTTTGTAAAAAACACCAATAAAAAAATGACAAAAGAGAAAGAAAAGAAAGCACAAATGAACAACGCCAAGAATAAAAAAGATGAGCAGCCATTGAGTGGAGATTTAAAAAGAAAGGGAAAAACTATTCTTAACTTTATATGAAGACATTTGGAGCTGGGGAAAGTAGGTAATATTTCGTTAAAATAAAACTACTAAAGATGACCAATCGAGTTAT